TCTCCTCAGCACACGCTGCGCTGTTCATGGGTGTGTAAAAGGCTGATTTTTTGCACACTATGTGCATTACTGTAAGTAAAAGTATGAATAAGGCATCCAGGCTCCCAATATAGCACTGGGGAACACTGGAAAGTGCAGAAAGGTGACATTTAACCTTCACTCTGAAGACCTGAGCAGCATTTATTCTTCTATAATGTGGCAGTGCTACTCACCCTCCTTTTACTCCAGATCATCAGGGTCTGGGTCCTCTTCTTTGGGGTGGGAGGACTGGATTCAACCCTCAAGCCCTGAGGAGTTTGCAGCGAGCAAATTCCCCATTTGCAAGTCAGGACTTCAATGGCAAGACATTTGGCTGCTCAGGGCAGCAGCCACCTTTGTTCTCCTGTTTGAAGCTGTGCCAATGTGCAGCAGAGAAGCAGGGCTTGAGGGATCATGGTGTAGCTAGTGCCTGCACCCCACAGAGCTGGGAGCTCAGCCAGCAGGGCTGCAGTGTCAGTTGCTGCCTCTGTTTCCACTATTTTTACCGTAGTTGACCTAAAGTCTTTGCTAGTTAAAATACAAAAGGTCCCCCAGAGCATGAGGAGCAATACCAAAGCCCTCTCTCCTGGGTGGGTGCCTCAGCTTTGCAGCTGCAGACTCAGAGATATGCTTGTGTCTTCTCTACCTCTTGGAGATCTTGGAGATCTCTACCTCTTGGATCTACCCTTTGACCTTCACCTGGGTTTTCTATCAAGTCACTGGTGACTGGAGGTGTAATGGTGGTAGGGAGCCACGGATTTACACCCTCGTGTGAACAGGCATCTATCTCTCTCTCCACGGACTGCATTGTCTCCAGTGCAGCAGGAGAAGCCCATAGTGGTACAACTCTCTCCTGACCAAAATAGGGCCGCCCTTCTGCTCCTTGTCTAGAAACCAGTAAAACCTCTGTGGGTCTGCCCCGAGGATGGGTTTGGTCCTGGCTGCATGTAGAGACGGGTGTCCATTGGGATGTTCCTTCGGCATCTCGTGGGATGAAGTGAATTGCACTCTGGGGCTCTGCATGGGCTGTAAAAGGAGCTGATATTTGGAGTTAGCCACCTACTCCTCAGACATCAAAGTTAGAACAGATGAGTCACACCTAGAGCGGTTTGTTGCATTTTTAGCAGAAAGTCTGTAGAAAGGCTGGGGCAGGACCCAGAAGCCCTGTGTCCTGGGTCCAAATATAACTTTTTTTTTTTCCATAAGAAAAGCACCATGTGTTTATAAATTGCTCTTTGCCAAATGACGTGTTCTTAAAGAGAATTACACTGTAATAAGCTGCATCATTAAAAAGAAATTTTTCAGTGAGCGGCAGGGTCTGGTTTCCTGTGGTTTGGTGTCTTGTGGTGGGATTATCTTGTGTCTAATGAGAAGCACTCTGGCTGAAGCCTTTTCTCCTGTTCATAAAGACATTGTCTCATGTGGGTACTCTGGTGTCTATAATACATTTGGGATCAAACTGCAGTTGTTTAGGTTCTCTCCTATCTGACAATGTAATATTGCCCACGTGGCAAGCTGTTCCTCCCTGGAGATGCGAAAGGGTCATACTTCTCTACCTTGCTGCCTCTTCTCACAAAACCGGTTGAAAATTAAAGCCTTTGAGACTTCTATCACACAGTTAAATTTGACTGAAATTGGCCAACAGGCTAAAAGATAATTGAGAATAATACTGGACTGACACAACAACATAATAAACCTAATTTTATTAGGTAATCGGGCAATAAATGATGGAAAGTAAATACTGGAGCAGATTAAACATGGAAAAAAATGTTCATAAATATTTATTCAAGCATTTAAATGCACTCAAGGTGACCATTTTATGCCTGTTTTGCATTTCAATTTTAGAGGTTCTATTCACAGCCATATGAAAGACCGACAAGGGCACAGGCACCCCAATAGTTACACTCATACCTCAAAAATAAAAGTAAAATAATAGTTTTCTGTGAGACTTTTTTTCACAGAGACAGGGAATTTTTAACCGTTTCTTTCAGATTATTACAAAATTTAGAATTTAGAAACAGGAATGTTGAATAATTCAGAACCAGATTTTGAAGATGATTCTCACCTAGTCAGAGAATAAAAATAGATCATGTGGTTTGTGCTGGATTGCCAGATTTTTCAATAAACCTGAACTGAACAAAGTCAGACCAAAAATCCTTTGCTGAAGTGATTCATGGAAATGTTTCAAAAATGTGAGATGTGAAAGGGAATTCTCAATTATTTGCACACACACAAAAAAAATCACAAATGAAAGAAAGAAGAAAGATACATTGAATAAATTGCTCATCGTAATTTATTTTTCCAGTTCCTGAGCCACAGAAACGTGCTTATCATAAAGTGATTTTTGGAGATACTTGTATTTTCTTACCTTGGATACAATTTAGATGGATGAACTACCATTGCTCTCCATGCTTATCAAATTAGGAGAATGCATTTCTAAATTCAATTACATCCTCAGTGGAAATGGTTTCTCTGACTCTGGTAATCTTTGGAGAGGAATTATACACAGTCTATAAAGCTTCACATTTCAAAACCTAATTTTGAATGTTATTCAAGAGGTTAATTTAAGATTCATCTTCCTAAAGAGGAGTTAAATAAAACTGATAGAAGGCTGGAACTTGTCAAGTGGTTGAGAGGTTTATCAGCATGTGAGTATGAGTTCATTAGTTTTAATTAGTATAATCACTAATGTTGCATTAACAGTTTGGTGAGAGAAAGTAATTGCTCACACCCACTGTATTAGATTGGGAGATTAGAATTCATTTTATGAGGCAATTAGCATTTCAGGGATTTTTTTATAAGGCTTTTACGATCTGCCATTGCAGTAGCCTCCTTCACCAAAAGAGTTTAAATTAACCATAACTTTCATCCTAATGGGATGCAAAAATTAATGTAGAATTAAGTGGGAACCAGTCCTCTCCAGCAATCCCACCACGATAAGCAGGCAGCTAAAGCCACAAACCTCAATTAGTTTATAATGACCTGTTTTATTTCCCAGACAATGATAGTCATTTATCTGACCTCAATTCATTACCTTGTTGGAAAGTTTATATTCTTGAATTTTATACAGCAAAACAAATAAATAGTGAGGAAGGAAAAAGTAGAACAGTACTATTGAAGTAATAATTCTCCCAAGAAAAAGCTGCAAGGTTCAATAATAGGGCCTAAATAGTCAATTATTCTTCACATTGAATGTCAGAGGAAGAAGAAACATCTCCCTTTGACACCCAGTGTCTTGGGAAGAACCATGCATTACACAGCAGCAGCAATCACAACACTGCTCTGCCCATCACATTCCTTGGCAGCTACTGACAAAATGGAAATCCTGAACGGACATCCAGGACTTTGTCATCCTGGTTGGCAGGGAAGCCCTGGTCATCTGAGAGTTGGGACAGTTGACCCAAGAGATTGCCTTCCAAAACATCCCGGAAAGCAAAAGTGCAGTTTCTGGGGGAAAGACTGTATGCAGTAAGAACGCTTACTCTCACGTCAAGGTTGTAATAAAAGTCATCATGGTATTGATAGAGAGATGAAACAATGCACCATTTGCAACATATCTGGCACCTATTACACGGGACTAGCTTGCCCCTGGTTAAAATAAATCTCTGCTCAAAAATGGCTGAATAAAGCCCAAATCTGCTATGATTTGGATGTGGCATGGAGGAGAACAACTGTTAGATCTTAGAACCATACTGTTGTTCCTGTAATTTTGGGTACATATGTTAAAATGAGCAGCCGTGGGGCAGTGTCCGGGGAGTTACACGAATCTTCCTAAAACATGTTAAAGCAAAATGTACGTGTGTATATATGTACTCTTAATTCTTATACTCCTTATAAGCATCTCCAAAGGAGACTTTGTCCTCCTACGTTTAAGCATCTAAAATTTAGGTACAACTAGACAGATTGGATCTCAGCCTTAGTCACTCTGGCGGCAGCCGGTGCCACCCTTAGGAGGTGAATTACTCCAGTTAAGATCTGAATCCGCCGCTGGGAAGGGCTGCCTCCCTCTATCGACTGCAGAGGCAGTCCAAGGTAACCAAGTTTCCGTCTCGGGTGGCCGGAGTAAATGCTTAAAATTGGGTAGGATGAGTCATGACCGGCATGCCTGTGCCTTAGGGTTTGTCTACGCACAGAGTTATTACAGAGAGCCATTACTCTTCTTGAATAGCATTACATGTGGATACACTTTTGGCTGAATAAGACTTACTCATTTCTCTTCAACAACATCCGCTTGACAGAGGCAGAGCAGTTTGCTTCCTAGTCCTCACATGGAATTGTTCTGCAAGAGCTGCTGCCTTTCTAGCTAGCTGCCCTACCTTAATCCAAATTTACTTTAGTATAAAAATGTCCTTAATTTGCCATCCATCCACCTTTGAGAGCCACTTAAGATTTATGGAGGTAAGCGCATCAATTAAGCACAAATACATTGACCAAAAAAAAAAAAGAATGCATCGTATACAATAAAAACTGACTTTTATTTCACAAATTATGGGTGTTATAAAGCATATTGTTTCAGGAGAAATGCCTGTATTTGCCAGTGTGTTTCATTAAAGAATAATAAAGCCATACATATTTCATTTCCTTGTTCTGAGCTGCAAGAACCTTAACTATATAAAATGCCCCATGCTGTCCTTGCTTTGTTGGGCTTTTTTTTCTTTTTAATCAGATTTTTTCCCCCAAACTAATGAAATCGCTCTTTAAACACATAAATCACTTTCATTTGAAGTGACTTATCATGGCTCAGATGGTTTCTCTCTTCTCCTGGAGAACAAGGCAACCTCCAGCACCTTTTGCTGTGCAGATCCAGGCCTGGATTGCCCCTGATCTCAGCCTGGTTTCAGCAGTTCTGAGTTCCTGGCGTTCCCACCAGTGCTGTTTTAGGTGGGGTATTAGGTGGCTGGTGTCTGCGGGGTCTGCACCTTGCATATCTACACCAGTTCCTGGTCCACCTGCTATCACATGTAATTTCTCTCTTCTCATAGTATGCACCGACCCGCTGTGCAGCTGCGCAGACGTCTGTGGAGCAAGGTGTCCTCCCTCCCTGCCATCACCACGAAGCAGTACATGACCCCCAGCTGGTTCCCTGCACATGCCCGCTCTTCTCCTGCCCATGGGAAGGGCACCTGGAGGTGGTGGTGTCCCACCTGAGGCAGACCCACCGCATCAACATCCTTCAGGGGGCAGAGATTGTCTTCCTGGCCACGGAGATGCATCTGCCTGCACCCACGGACTGGATCATCATGCACTCTTGCCTTGGCCACCAGTTTTTGCTGGTCCTCAGGAAGCAGGAGAAGTATGAAGGCCACCCCCAGTTCTTCGCTACGATGATGCTGATCGGCACACCAACCCAAGCCGACAACTTCACCTACCGGCTCGAGCTCAACAGGAACCAGAGGCGCCTTAAGTGGGAGGCGACCCCCAGGTCGGTACTGGAGTGTGTTGACTCTGTCATTTCGGATGGGGATTGTCTTGTGCTGAACACTTCCCTGGCTCAGCTCTTTTCCGACAACGGAAGCCTAGCGATAGGAATTGCAATAACCACCAGCAAAGTTCACAATGCTGAAGCTGAAGTGTGAGGGGGAAGAGGAAGAAGAGGAGGAGGAGAAACAATGGTGCTCTAGCTGCCTTGTGAGAGCCAGAACTTGCGGACTTTTCGGGGGGGTCTCAGGTCTTTTATGGTATTTAGTACTCGTCCACAGTGGGCATTATGTAAACATCCTGTGGTTACGGTCTCTGTGTAATGTATTTACCGTTTTGTTAATACAATTTTATGAGAAATTTTAAAGAGGCTAATCAATTTATTGTCACCCTCCAGCAACACTGGAGACAACACTTTCTCCTGGAAAGTGCACCCGGGGTGACTCTCAGAAACCTTTGGTCTGAGCATGCTATGCAAATGTGTTTCCTTCATTGTCTGCCTAATTGCCTGGTATTAAGGAGACCCTGTGCCTGGTAAAAGGCAAAGTATTCCACTAAGGGACAAGAGCACCCAGATTTCCACACTAGCAACTCTTACACTGTGGTCATAACCAAGCCCCAGGGAGCTTGCAGTTTCAGAGCACCCTTCAGCTTCTGAGGAAGCAACCTTCACCACCCAGACAATGAAAGCTTCAGAAGAAAAAATCACCACCTTCACTGAGCTGGGCCCTGGGGAGCCTCATCCTGCATTAAATCGGGGATGACAGCTAGTGGGTGGCCACTGTGAGCATGGTTAAATCTCACTCTCGTGTCATGATGGGCAGTGAGAGGCTTGCTGGATGGTCTGGCTCCAGGATGGATATAACCATAGCCAGCCATTGGGGCATTCACCTTTTTAGCTGCTATTTTCTTAAGCATTCAAAAAGAGATTTTCAGAAAATAAAGTATCAGGAAAGTCCTAAGTTGTGTACTGATCTTGCTATTGAATTCTGTGCCACTTAGACCCACAATGCGTGCTGCTAAATATTGATTTAAAACAATGCAGACGGAATATCTGTTTGCAAATTGGCTATGAGATTTGAAATGCTCTCCTTTAAAAATAGCCTTTTTTTTTTTTCTTCCATACACTTGGGAGGTGATGATGGTCCCTTTCATTCTGCTGAGGGTGTTTCACAGATGGTGATGGTCACAAGAAGAAACAGGCTTCTCTAAGAGCTTCTTCCTTGGATGGCTCCTTAGGGAGAATCGGAGGCAGGTGCTGGCCATCTCCTGACGCTCAGTCCCATCTGCACTCAGGCATGTTTCCTCCATAGCCAACAACAGCAGTGAAATCCCACTGCAGCGGGTGACGTGTTGAAGGAGGGGGCTCTACAGTGAGTGTGACACATGAGAAGCATGAGAAATTGTCTTTTCCTGTTTCCCTTCTGCCCATGTGTGGCCGTGGCCTGCCTGCTCCTGAATGCTTTTTTGAGAAACGTCTGGTGGGTTGTGTCAGTTAGTAGCTGGAGAGATTGAGGCTGTTTGCTTGAGTCCCTTGGAAAACCAAGGAAGGGGGGAAGTGAGCTAAGAACAGTTCTTCAGTGTTTCAAAAGGCATCTCACCGTAGCTAGCTTTGGGTAGGGAAAAGCTCTGATGCTAATCTCTCCCACCTGCTGCTCTCCTGGGATTTATTATAAACGATGCGTGAAGTAAAACGAATTGCAATTTTCCTGAGATGAATGCTATGCAGATAATGCCTTCTGAGTTGCAGATGCACCTTGCCTCCTTACCTGGGCCTTCATAGCAGGTCACTGCTCAGAGAGGAGCCAGGATCTCTTCAACAGGCTGCTCATGATCACGCAAGCTGAGGTCTGAAGAAGTCTCAGTCCCTGTAAGAGTATGCTGGGGCGTACCTTCACGGCTTTCCCACCTCCGAATTTGAGGGGCTAGGGGGGCATGTTGGTTTGCAGTGAGTGCTTCACTGGAACACACAGGCTTCAGAGTGGCTTGCTTTTTTCCTGCGATGTTAAATATTCAGAACCAGCAACTGCTGCCCTTTCCCTAAATGATGGCAATAAATAAATCATTGGCATTTTTGTGGACTCTAACTGGCTTCTCCAGCCCCTCTGGCAAATATTCTGCTGCTGAATTAAAACAAAGCAAAAGCAATAAAACCCCAACATAAACAGATCCTCTAGCTTAAACTTCCTGAGCTCTTTGTACACTGTGGTAGAGACCTAATGTAATGCTGCTTTTGTTGTCTGATCACAACCAGTTTTAGGGAGAGGGGTATTCCTTGGGTATTCACTTGTTTCAGACTATTTACTTCTTGCTGGTTGGCACCTTTTGTTCTTGAAATATCTACTGAAATGAAGAATGTGCTGTTGGTGTTTTTGGGCATGCCCCTCGACAAAAGACCAGTGTATTTCTGGCAGGATGAGTGTGACAGCAGCAGTTCTCCAGGATGGGCATCTCCATCCCTTGCCAGTGGCCAGGTTTTCTGGTTTCGATGGGGCAGGAGGCACAATGGAAATCTGACCTCCCCGACATGGACCTCCTCACATCCCACATGTCCTTCTCCCAGAACTTTCTCATGACCACACCAAAAGTTCAGCCTTTCCATTTCCTTCCCAGTCCTCATCTGGTGGCCACCCTCCTCAGCCTGCTCTCAAGCTCTCAACCTGGGCTTCCCCCTCAGCTTGCAGAGACCATGGCGCTGCTTGCCTCCTCCCGCTCTGCCTCTTGGGTGCCATTGCTCAAATCTTTCTCGCTGCTCTTTGCTGCCAGCCATTAAACCTCCTCACTCGGCTCTCTCCACAGCTGCAAAGCCCCAGCTCTGGCAGGGATTTCAGAAATACAGATACATTGGAGTATTGATTAAAATCTGTCTAGTAAGACTCCCAGTACAGAAAAGGAGGACACATTTTGGAGAGAAAGGAGATATGAGTACCTAAATCCAGCCTTCATAAGCATCTCAACATAAAACTCAAATGTTTAAGGGTATATTTAAGGACTTTCTACCATGGAAGACATTCTAATTCCATCATAATTCAAAGCCTATAAGCAACCCTTCACTGCCATAAAGCAAAGGTGAAGGAAATATTCTGCATGATGTGACATAAATCCTAAAATGCTGGCAAGTAGGATCAACAATGAAATTCAGTTTACATGCACTCTTTCAGTGCCCATAATACAGCACGTTTTACAGCTCTCTACTCATGGTTGAAAGGCAGTTGTAGCTTGGCTTGACAAATTTGTGCTGAATTTGGGGCTTCTAGAATTCATTTTGTACTCTAATATTTTGCATCTTTATAACATACTATATCGAGTCACTCCAAACTCCTTCAAAAATGTGAAGAACTTACTCTATGAAGTAAGGAAGTACCCTTATTTTGGTGCAGGAGAAAATGAGGTCTTGCAAAATTGCTATGCAGGTGTTGCAAAATTCTGTTTTCCTACCTACCTGAGAGCAGTGTTCCCTCTTTATTTTGGTTTGTTTTTGTTTTTGTTTTTTTTAACACAGACAAAATAGTATTCTTTTTTTTTTTTAGAGTTTTTACATATCTGTGTTCATGGATGGATTTTTTTTGTGCCTAGATTAGTAAATTGTAACAATAATTTCATCAGGCTGAGCCAGGTGGATTGCTGCCAGACCCACTAGAAAACCTACTTTGGTTCTTCTGCACTATCCATCAGACACAGTGTGAATGTTAATGTCAGATCTGCAGTAAAACAGCATTAGTGCTTTCAGATCAATCCCATTATGAATTAAGCTCACATCATATAACCATGACTCCTTATAAATCAGCTGAAGCATCCCGAGTCTCATCATCTTGAAGATGACAAAGGATCTTGCTGTGCCAGTGCGAGCCGGAGGGCTTGCTGAGAAGTAGGGCAGTAGTTCTCTTCCCACTGATATCTGATATCGCACCCTACCTTTCATACCATCCTTTATGAATACAGGCCAGTAAACTACTAAAGAAAGGAGGGATGGTAAATTCTGGACAATTGAAAGGGTTATAACAAAATGAATGGTTTACAATAAATTGCCAGGTACCGCTGCATGGCTCTCTCTTTTGGGCACCGGAGGAATGAAGCCTGATTGACAGTACCGTAGTATAGGTGATTGGTCTGCTCATAACACACCTGAAAAACACCTTGATCGGAGAAGAGTTCGTCAGAACAGACACAGAGATGCACTTCTGCTCAGCTGGATCAGAAACACCTTCTCACACGGAGGAGCTGCAGCTTGTGAACTGTTCAGACACAAGCATAAGTTTTTAATCCTTTTTTTGTTAATCCAATTAACTCTGCATGCTCACACCAGCTGGACAAAGGGCGGAAAACAAAGATTGTACTCTGCCACATGTATCATCACTAGAACTATTCACAAAAAAAGATGATTAATCTTCTGCAGAGATGAACCTGCAGAAAACGAGGGGGTTTCACAGCAGGGTAGCACAGGGCAGCGCCTGCAGGCTCCAGAGGTGTACACATACAACTGAGGGCAGATCTCAACCTCCAGACAAAAATATCACTCAACGGAAACCGCTCAGAATGAGGTCACAGCAGGGGCTGTCAGGAAAATGATCAAACCTCCTGAGAGTAGCAAACCAGCGGGGAGATGAGGCTCTGTGCAGAGATGTGTCACTTCACATCAGCACCTTCCACCCGGCAAAAGAGTCTCTCCTCTGCTGGGAGCCTTGTCTCAGGAGCAGTGTGGATGTGTCATTGGGATCAGCCCTTGGCACTGTGGGTCTGCATGCGAATGACCCCGACACTGCACAGTGAGTGCAGACACCCAGCCCCTCTCTTGCCCCACAGCTCCTCTGGTTTTGGTGGGTACCCAGCTACCTGCAGCTGCCAGTGGTTCCTCCAAGCCCTGGCACTTGACAGTTTTGCTGTCTTTCACTTGTATGACTCTCACCAAGGTAGGAGAGTATTTGCTGAAAACCACCCAAAAAATCTTTGGCAGAACATCAAATTAAACCTATACTTCATACCCTTGGTTAGGATTACGATCACTCATTCTTTCTCCCTCCACAAAGGCAATAGACTAATGCATAGCTTTTTTATCCTCCTTTGGGCTCTGCCCCTCCAGAACATGCGTGTGAAAGATTAGCAGGCAGCGATCATCTTCAGGAGGAGGATGAAGACTAACATTCATTGCAAAGATGTCTGTTCTCACAGTACTTTCACAAAGGGATGCCAGGCTCCAAAAAAGAGCCTAACAAACCTTAGTGGGAGGCAGATGGGAAA